ACTTGGCTCCGCCCCTGTGCTTCGTCACGCTGAACCTTTTCTCTCATGTGTGTCTCAGATGGCGTCTCTGACGATGGGTTTGGGCGACGCTCTGTCTCCTCTGCAATCGGTGAGTAACGGCGTGCAGCGCCCCCTTGCTGAGCGGCGAGCTGCCGGCTCATTCTTCTTCTCTGCTTTCTGCGTGTCTGTTCAGGTGGCGGCTCAGCGGCAGAGAGCGCTCGCCATCATGTGTCGCGTGTACGTTGGATCCATTTACTACGAACTCGGAGAGGACACCATCAGGCAGGCCTTCGCCCCCTTTGGACCAATCAAAAGCATCGACATGTCCTGGGACTCGGTGACCATGAAGCACAAGGTCACACACACACTCACGTAAAACACACACCACACTCTGAGGTGGGCGGGTCTAACCGTTGCCATGGCACCTGCAGGGCTTCGCCTTCGTGGAATACGAGATGCCTGAAGCGGCGCAGCTCGCACTGGAGCAGATGAACTCAGTCGTCCTCGGAGGACGGAACATCAAGGTGAGTCCAGCTGACGAGGAAGCCCCGCCTCCTCTGACTCTGAGCCCGGGTTTGAGTTTCCCTCCTCGCTGTCTCGCAGGTCGGGAGGCCCAGCAACATCGGCCAGGCTCAGCCAATCATCGACCAGCTGGCGGAGGAAGCGCGTGCCTTCAACAGGATCTACGTGGCGTCGGTGCACCCCGACCTCTCCGATGATGACATCAAGAGTGTGTTCGAGGCCTTTGGAAAGATCAAGTCGTGCATGCTGGCCCGCGAGCCGACCACGGGCCGGCACAAAGGCTACGGCTTCATCGGTGAGCGGCCGATCGGCTCCGCCGCGGCGTGAAAGCTTTAACAGGGAAGACGCAGAGGGGTGTGGACCCTCTCAGGTGCACCCCGGGTCAGTGACCCGCCCCCTGCGGTTCTCATGTTTGGATTCACCAATCTGTTTCCATAGCAACTCAGCCTGACGGGTCGACTTCATTTTAAGGGTTTGTTAGGCTCCGTTAGCCCCGTCAGCTGACGGGGAGCCCAGGTGTGACACCTGAACACCTGGGCTCCCCGTCAGCTGACAGACAGCTCTGTTCAGGGTGGGGCTCTGTGTGATGTAGGCGGGACTTCTGACGGCGGTCTGCTCATTTCCTGCGTGCAGAGTATGAGAAGGCTCAGTCGGCTCAGGACGCCGTCGCCTCCATGAACCTGTTCGACCTGGGCGGTCAGTACCTGCGCGTGGGCAAAGCCGTGACGCCGCCCATGCCCCTTCTCACACCGACGACGTCTGGTGGACTGCCCACTGCCGCCGCCATGGCTGCTGCCGTCGCCACCGCAAAGATCACAGCTCAGGTAACTCAGGGAGCTCCGCCCCCCAGTACATGCAGTACGGTAGTTTCCTGCCTGCATGTGCACAGAAGCAGTGGTGCGTAGTACTTCCTGTAGTACTTCCTGTAGTACTTCCTGTAGTATTTCCTGTAGTATTTCCTGTAGTACTTCCTGTAGTATCTGAGACAGGTGTGCTGATCATGTTCTGTGCTGCGTTCAGGAGGCGGTGGGAGCGTCGGTGCTCGGAGCGCTGGCCGGACCGGCGCTCCTGTCCCAGCAGCTCGGAGGCCTCCCTCAGGCTGTCATGGCCCACCAGGCTCCAGGTGTCATCACAGGTAGGAACACCTGAGCCCTGTCAACACACACACACACAGGCTCCACCCACATTGAGTTTGGGGCAGTCCTCTCCGCCCACACGTCTCACCGCTCTTTATTTTGAAGCCAGGCTCATTCAAAGATGCTAACCAATAAAAGGTGCTCCAACAGGTAACACTTCCTGCTTCCTGTTTCAGGTGTGACCCCAGTGAGAGCTGGCGTGCCTCAGGTGGGCTTGGTGAACCCTGTGCTGGCCACGCCCCCAACACAGGTTCCCTTTGGTGCTGATCCAAAGAAGAAGGAGGAGGAGGAGCGTCAGCAGGAGGTGCAGCAGGACGGCGCCATGGAGCCGCTGAGCGAGCAGGAGCACATGAGCATCAGCGGCAGCAGCGCCCGACACATGGTGATGAGGAAGCTGCTGCGCAAGCAGGAGGTACGCTTCAGTCCCGCCCACCCCTAATGGCGACTCGTTGGTTCTAGTGGTCGTGACCTGTCGTATCTCCTTTCAGTCCACCGTCATGGTTTTGAGGAACATGGTCGGCCCCGACGACATCGACGACGACCTGGAGGGCGAGGTCACCGAGGAGTGCGGGAAGTTCGGCCAGGTGAAGCGAGTCATTATCTATCAGGAGCGTCAGGGGGAGGAGGACGACGCCGAAGTCATCGTCAAGATCTTCGTGGAGTTCTCGGAAGCTGCCGAGATGAACCGAGCCATCCAGGCGCTGAACCACCGCTGGTTCGGCGGCAGGAAGGTGGTCGCTGAGGTTTACGACCAGGAACGCTTCGACAACGGGGACCTGTCGGCGTAGAGCGCGCTCGTCGGGGAGCGTAGCGTAGCGGGCTCTTTCTAACTTGTCTGTTTTTCATCGGTGTTTGTCTCCAGGGAAACGTCTCCGCGTCCTCTGCTCCCGTGTTTCTGTGCAGAGTCAAAGGACGAATCAGCTGCTTCTCATGTTTCAGCTGCTCGCCGCCTCGCCGTTTCTTACAGCCGCTGCTTTCCTAACATGTCCTTCGTTTCCATGGTAACAGAAACGGGACACAGAGGGCGTCAGTTAAAAATGTACCGTGAGCTCCGTGCTAACGTTAAGAGCTGATTTACACGGTCTGATATCAGTTTCATTGAGTGATGTCACGCTCGACTCCACCCACTGTAGATGGTGCCCGTGGAGCCGCCCTGCTGGACAAACTGTGTACTGACGAGTTTCATTTACTGAATTTTTTTTTTTAAACGGATTTTGGATTGGCGCGATTAGAAACGCTGTCGATCGTGTTCTACTAACTGCCACGCCCCTTCTCCTTAGAACGCTGGGCGGGGCCGCGGCGCCCTGAGAGTGAGGCGTAACGATTTGGTTTGACACACACAAAAACAATCACCAGCAGGAAGGAAAAACTGGACCTGACGTCCAGGAACCAGGACCCACAGATCAGTAAGTTGAACAGTAACTTCCTGTCTGGGTTCTGACCCAGTTACACGGCCACGGTGCCTTCAGGGACCTTCTGTACAATGGTGAGCCGGCCGGAGCTGAAACATGAAGCAACTGTGGACCAGATGTGACGTCACCTGTGTTCTTCCAGATGTTCAGCCTTTTGTTCACAGCCTCACAAGAGAAACACCTGGAGTCTAACAAACTGACTAAACCTGAACGCACCACAGCATCATCCACTCTCAGGCCGTCTCCCGCTTGTCCCGAGGAGTCACATGATCCCGGTCTCTGAGCAACTTTGAGCCTCAGAGGCGGTGCTGCGTTCAGGTGCTCTTCAGGGTTTGAAGGTCAAACACCGAAACTTGTGAATAAAACTCTTTTTTTTCTGCTGTTTTGTTTGTGTGAAGCTGCTCTCTGATTGGTCGGCAGTTGAGTGCAAAAATCTGTTTGATAATAAAAGATAATAGAAAGCAGACGAGGTGTTTGAAAACAGGAAGTAATCAGCTGTCTGCTGAACGTTCAGGAAAGAGCTCACCTTCATTCACTCTGGAGGAAGAAGCACGGGCACGGCCAAAGCCTGCATTCTGTCTGAAGGCCACCAGGGGGCAATAGCTTTGGTAAGGCAGCTTTCTGACCTTTGACCTGTGTAAAAACATCCTGCTGAGGTTGTGGGCTCAGTTTTACGTTACACTGTATTTCACAGTGGTGAAGCTGCATATTCATTGGGTAATGGCCAGGAACCCGCTCACTCCAAACCCTCGACAGGTGGCAGTCACAGGGCGTTAGCCAGTGAGCATGTGGGTTCACAATCAGGCCCGCCCCTCCTCGCCACCTTCAGGTTTTTTCAGCCAAATTAGCGCCCTTGGAAGCACCCATAATTGGGTGACATCACTGAGGCCAGACTGTATAAAAGACTGTAACATAACCTGCTGCCATGTTTGTTTCCTGTGGTGACCATATTTGGAGGACTGGGTGGAGTTGTCAGCCAGTTGTCTGCTAGCTAGCTTAGCATACACATACACCTTATCAGTAACATCCAATCAGAATCCTTAGATGGTCACAGCAGCAATCTTATTGGTCAGATAATCTCATTAAACACAGTTCAGAGGTCTAGCTCAGAGATTCCAGTTAGCTGAGGTGAAGTCTAGCAGACGTAGCAGCTACAGTGAGTTTTGTCACCATCCACCTGTCAGTCAAAGAGGCCATGCACCTATCAATGCAAACAGGTGAGTTAAAAATGTGTCCTCCCTTCTGTTGAATCCAGTCATTGTGCAGTTGTTATGAAGGGGAAATTATCTACAAAGGCCAAAACATTTGAATTTTCACACAGGAGTCTATGAGGACTGACTCAGTGCGCCCTCTGCTGAATGCTGGAGGAACTGCAGGCTCAAGATCGGTTTGATAGTTTACTCTGATGTGTTCAGGCTGTTTATCTCTCAGCCAATCAGCTTTCACTATATAACTACGATGTTGTGCTCCCATTCACAGCTGCATGTCACCAATCATAGGGTCATTCATGACATCATCTCTGATGTCACTGTAGTCACGTGAGCTGAGCTGATGCTCCTCAGGGCCAACACCTGATACATTCATTAAATCCTGACAAAAACAAACATTAAGGCCAAATAAATGAGTAATCACTCATCAATAACCACAAATGAAAGGCTTTAGAAGCTTTTATTTTGAAGTCTAATCTCAGCGGAAGTGATCCCTCTTATTGTGAAAGCAGCTTTGACGCTGGGTACGGCGGCTCGCAGGGTCCAGTCCGCGCGCTCCCGCTGATGATGGGCGACGTCCTGTGCGAAGAGCTCGAGGATTTGGTCCACTTCTCAGTGCACGACCTGCCGGCACGAGGTTATGTCGTCATGGAGGAGATCCGACGTCAGGGGAAACTCTGTGACGTCACGCTCAAGGTGAGCGAGGCGGCGTGCGAGGCTGACATTAGCCTCCAAGCTAACAGAGTAAGCTAAGGCATGCTAACAAGCTAACGCGGATTATCAGATAGTGACGTCATGGGCTGAGCTATGAACTGCCTGGGAGCCCCACGGGCAAGGCGGCGAGGCGGCTTCCGGTCAGAGCGGTCAGTTCGTAACGCCAGGGCTGGAGGTCAGGTGTGTAATCCACCTGGAGGAAGGTAGAAGTTGTGTGACGTGCGCAGTTGAGCTCAGGCAGCACAGAAGGGGCGGAGCCTTTTAGCAGCGTTGTGGCGTAAGCAGGTGAGCAGACACGTGATTTCTCTTTGTCCCAAACATGTCCGCCAGGTGAGGGAGAGGCGGGGCCTTAACCCTAACCCCTACAGCAGGAAGAAGCTCTCAGTGGCTCCACCCCTCCCCATCAGGGCTGGCTCTATGGTAGCAGGTAATAGAGCGTGGTGCTCATTGTCAGCGTCACATGATCCAGGTGTGCTTCTGAGGTGTTCAGGTGCAACTGAGGAACGTTTTCACCTGTGCTGCGTCCTGTGCCTGCCGCTCAGCATTGATCCTCTTAACGGCTCAGTAGGACTGAGTCTCCCAGGACAAATGGTGTCCTGCAAGTGCACGTTCTCACCTGTCCACGCTCAGGTGACCTGCAGAAGTTTAAAAGGAAGTCAGACGGATTCAATGATGCAGGCAGACTTGGCTGGTTGGATGAAGGAATCTGATTGGCTGCACGTTAAGCTGAAGCTAGTGGAAACATCATCGATGGCGTCAGTTATGCTGAACCCTGAAATCTACTTCCTGTTGAAACGCGTGTGTTTCAGAGGCTGAAGGAACGCGATCACCTTGTTGTTTTACCTGATAAGTGGGGGGTGGGGCTTGCTGTGAAGCCAAAGTCTTATTGGCTGACTAGCGAGGAGTGGTGAGTGTTTCAGGGCACATCCCTCAGACGTAGCTGTTTTCAGTTTTCTATTATCGTCATAGCAACAGGTGAGTAACAGGTGAGTGTGTTAATCAGTGTGTCTGTCCTCAGGTCGGGGATCACAAGTTCAGCGCTCACCGGATCGTGTTGGCGGCCTCCATCCCGTACTTCCACGCCATGTTCACCAACGACATGGTGGAGTGTAAACAGGATGAGATCCTGATGCAGGGCATGGACCCCAGGTACGCTCACACCTGTACAGATGTCTGAGAGCAGAATTATAACTGTCAGACTGTAACTAAGTTTAAGAATATAATCCAGCCACTGTTATCATCGTCAATGCCCTGTACCAACACAGAGCAGAGCAGCTATCTGAACGCTAC